TTAAATCAGTATTTTTGTAGACAAAAATTTTGAAAAACAAAACATAATTCCATAAAGACGAACCTACCATAGTTAACAAAAATCATTTACAGCGGAGCCTTTCAGGGTTTGAATAGGTAAATGTTATTTTCTCTCAGACTTAATTAAAACGTTTTTGGATACTGTTTTGAAAGGATTAATAATATGATTGTTGCTGTTTGAGGTTAAGCACAAAGCTACACAATGGGCTATCTGTGCTCTGCCCACCACGGGCTTCGAAACCCGGTTTCTAGCGTTGTAAGTACGCAGACATACCGCTGTACCACTGGGAGGCTTAATGGTATGAACCATTTGAGATTTATTGTGGAATTTGTTAAAATAATTATCTTATAGATGTTATTAATTTAATTCTAATCGTCTAATCTCGAATTTGAGTTATACATGTGCGTTTCTTGCGTATCTATTCTGTCGTTTCGCCATAATGAAATAAGTAAATAATAATTTTATTTTAGAAAACTACGAAATGTTAAGTAATATGTTCGATGCAACCCACATCTTGTACAAAAATGTCATCGTCTTCACGTGTGAATGAAATGCTGCTTTTCTTCAAGTCTAGGTCCAGTCTATGTTCCTATCAGATTTGTTTGTCTTTTGACGCACAACACTGACAAATAATGAGGTGTATAAGGTATTTTTTTGGTGGCTAACCGATTGTCGATGTTACTTGTTCCTGTATTGCACAGCAAAAGGTCCAGTTAGCGTGCCGGAGTGTTAATCCGAGAATCCATTAGAAGTCGTGGATGCGCTATAAGTGTGACGGTCAAATCCCGCTATTCGATTAGACTAACCCAAGAGTTGGTAGTTAGCTGCCTTTCTTCTAGTCTATAAGTTCAAAATTGGGGATGGCTAGCGCATATATCCCCTTACAATATCCGAAACAAACAATGCATAGCAAAGTCTCGATGCATAGTATAACGCCGCTTAACCAATCAAACGTGTGCTACACAAAACCACGTCTATCCTCAGGGCTCGTTCTTTCTCAGTCCCATGTATCTTATTTTTACCATCAAGAGCCTAGGAAAAACCTTTAAAATGAGTTAATAACTATTTGCAACTTCAGTACTATAAAATTTGAGTTTCTATTTTTTTACAAATGTTTATAAATATGTTTTATATAAAATGACCATATGACAAATATATATACCGGGTGAGTCAAAATTCCTAATTTTCCCTATTGTTGTGACGCAAGTGTGAACTATGTTAATACAAAAGCTGTAGTATTACATAGGATTAAAGTACTAAATTAAAACTTCCTGGTGTAAGTATTAACGGGTGTAACAACTTTAACTACAATTTATCTTATTGGTAAGTTTAAAGCAAGGTAAGTATGTTGTATTACTACATAAATATCATCTAATAAATAATTATTTGTCATTTCTTATCAGAAAGATAAACTTAATTACTTTACTGAGAAAATAATATAGTGATAAAATAGTGTAATATATTAACAGTGTTGTCAACAGGCTATTTTTGTTTAATATTGGTGATTTATGCTTAGGCTACAATGGTTAAGATTAGTGTAGATGTTAAGCGCTCAGAGTTTGTATGGTGAGATAGGAGCAATGAATGGGTTTTATTCGGGAACTCGGGACTTGCATGTACTTTTAAAGAAGCTAGTAGTGAACATGTGCAGTTTGTATGTAGTGTTTACAGGTTGGAGGATACAATTGAAACTATCCTAAGTAGAGTAGACGTGATTAGATAAGGGGAAAATGAACTGTGGGAAATGGCAGCAGGAATTCAAGAAAAACTTGAGCTTTTGCGTACGAATGATACAGTTAGGAAGTTAAAAACAATACTAACAGGGCGAGAAATGGTAAAATTAAATGTAATGAGCAGCTTCTGTTAAGTAAGAGATTTTAAGCCTTTATCTTGTGCAGATGAGGAACTAAAGAAGGGAAGGATAACAAAAGGGACAGATAGGGAAGAGAATGAAAAACATAAGGAAGTTATTGTTATAAGCTATTCTTCAGTGCAGCATGTAGATAGGATATTCTATAGCAATGTTTTGCAAACTTTAAATAGCCGCGTCTTCCTAACTCAGCAAAGTTTCCGTTGCGCCTCCTTCACATTAAAATAATTTTCGCAAATGATAACAGTAAAATCAACATTTTTCTCTACCCGATTTTAAGAATTTCTAAAAATGATTGTTTGTTTGTTTGTAATCAAGCACAAAGCTAGACAATGGGCTATCTGTGCTCTGCCCACCACGGGTATCAAAACTCGGTTTCTAGCGTTGTAAGTTCGCAGACATACCGCTGTGCCACTGGGGGACTAAATAAATAATCTGTCAATTCACGCAGACTGATATGCACATGCATAAGTAACCACTATCAATTTTAAAATTTAGATACATTATTAGACTGTAGAATTTTGATTTAAATTATAAAAACTTCTTTACCGTTAAAACTTGTGTACTTGAGAATGATTGCACCATTGATCGAAACGTCGTACCTGTTATAAAAAATATTATTCATTACTGTGAAATATGTAATAGAATATATAAAATGTTAGGTTGTGTTTACAGAAATATCAAATATAAGATTAAAGATGTTATAATTTCATTGGTCATTGGTTATGCCACATTTAGAGTTTTACTTTCAATCTTAGGCTTCTTACTTTAAGAAAAACATTAATTGTTGGTAATGGCTCAGAGGAGGGCTACTAGGATGTTGCCTAGGATGGAAAGGCTGTCATACGAGGACAGGTTAAGATCTATGAAATTTTCTCTTGTAAAAAGAAGAATTAGAAGTGATCTGATTGAGGTGTTTAAGATTGTTAAGGATATTGATAGTGCTGTTGCGTCATCTTTTTTTCATATTTAATGATGTGAGTGGTAGGACTAGGGGATATAAATATAGATGTACATTTTGTTAGAGTAAGAATCATGATCAATTAACACAGCTTTATTTTTCTAACAGAGTGGTTAGCCTTTGGTTTGTTTGTTTGAAGTTAATCACAAAGCTACACGATGGGCTATCAGTGCTCTGCTCACCACGGGTATCGAAACCTGGTTTCTAGCGTTGTAAGTCAGCAGACATACCGCTGTGCCACTAGGGGGCTAGTTATTGGAATTGGTTGCCTTCAAATGTGGTGGATGCAGCTAATTAAAGATAGTTTAAGGGAATGTTTGATAAATATTTGAATGATATCGGCTGGCTTTGAGTGTTTTATTTTGATTTTAAAGTGTATTTTAGTGGATGGGATGGCCTAGCCCTAGATAGACCAACAGTTTACATTTTGTCTTTAAATTATATGTATGTAATATGTTAATTATTAGTTTGAGGTAAAATGTATAAATGCAAAAGTTGTAGCACAAAATGATATTACCTTAATAACGTAGTTTTTCTTAAGGATTTCGAATAGATTTGGATAATATTTAAATCGGAAATAATTCATTTTCATACAATGTCAGTTATAGAATTAACATTTATGCAAACAACATATACCAACTTCAATTTCCTGATTCTGGAATTTACTCCACGTTTTTATACCTTCTCTAGCCATTATTATGTACTGTCCCTCATAAAGTGTTATGAAATATTACGCACAACCCAGAAAAACAATGATCCACAGAACATGAAACATTACACTCATGCTGAATGTACTACCATTGATACTCTATGGATAATGCTAAAGGAATGTTGTAGCAGCAGCAAGGATATGCAATAAGTTTCCAGGTAAGCGACATCTAAACGCATCCATAATCTTGCACATTGTTCGCTGTATTCAAGAATCAGGATCTAACAAATGACGACAGTGGTCATGGCGACCATGACCAGCTACAAATAATGACAATGCCACGGCTGTATTTGCTTTGTTCTATAAGTCCAGCATAATAAAAATGGTATGTACCTGTTTCACCTCACATTTTATCGAATCATTTCTTTCGAATATCTTCATTACATACCACACATTTCTCTAACTTATTTCGTCGCCATTTTATTACCTGTTGTAGAAAAAACTTTATGTATCCAATCTTGATGATGAGCATTTCGATAATATCAAAAACTGTGAAATGTAATGCTACAGCTCAAGCAACGGAAGTGTCCTTATGTAGTTACAGTAACTTCATTATTTGTATACTTTGTGAAATGGGATGAATTTCTGTGAAAGTTTATGTCAGTACTCAGTATATTTGCATGACAAATACGTACACCTTTCCACTTTTATTTTTAAAGGTGTTTCATAATTCAATAGCATAGTAGATATAATCAAAATTTACTATAGTACTATATTCAGTACTTATGATTTGGTCAAAGGCAGTGCTAGACCATTGAGAATCCTAAATATTTTTGGATTCACTTACTCATCCCACTTACCCAGTTACGCAATTTTTAAACGTCCATCTTTTATTGAGTGATGTACTTTTTGATCGCTTTCCTTAAATGTTTTTAATAAGTATAATACTAAAATATTCAAAAGTCAAAATTCTGATTATAAAAATTCCCCGTGAATTGTGGGCCCCTTTGAGTTGCTCGAGGCTCTATGCAATTTCTTAGTCTGCTTATGTCTAACGCGGCACTAGATTCAGAACGTGAAACAAATATATATTGGTGCTCAATGCCGATAAAGCTTACTAGTACATACCGGTTAAAAATCGCACCTAATTATGAACACATTAAAAGCACTGTCCGAGATACAAATTTTGTTTATTTTATAAAATCGAAACTGTGTTCTGCGAGTAGTTAGGAAAAAAATATAAATCCGTAATAAAACTGATTTAAATTACCGTAGAAAGCAGATTCTACCATAAGAGGGAAAAACGTGTTGGTAAGTTTCTCAATCATTTCTGTGTACCAAAAACAAACAAATAAATCTGTAATTATTAGGCTGTCAATAAATGTGTATTTTTTTAAGTGTATAAATTGTTGTGACGATTGCTTATCGTATTAAAGCTGATTAATGTTAATTTCTACAGGACGAATATTTGTTATAGTTGTAACACGGACTGAACCATCATGAAGGTTTTCATAGTTCTGGCAACACTTCTTGCCTCACTCACTGTACTCGCTGAAGATCAATCTCCAGGACAAACGAATATCCCCTATAACGATGATGAGGTTGAGATTATCGAAGTAAACGAAGAAGATCACGATGTGGAGAAAGAAAGGCATATAAATGAAATAGGGGATTTCATCCCTATCTCTTCCCGTGAAAGTCGATTGCTTCCTACCTTTCTGGATTCGTATGGCCGACAGATTCCTCCTTCAGCGCCATTTTTACAGACTTCTGTTATTGGTAGCGTAGCTTTTTTGGGACTGATGGGACTTGGGACGATGGCCCTATTGTACCCGATTCTATCGTCGTTGGAAGCTGAAGATTTGGAGAAATTTAACGAAATAGATCTGCGTGATGCTGGCGGGTTTTTCAGCAAGAGCTTGACAGGAATATCAGAAAGAGTGATGACGTATGTGGAGCAAACTCTGGAAGAATTACCGAGCATTCCTCGACTCGATGCTCAAGAATGTATGAAACGGAGTGTATGTGAAGCACATAATCAACCTAAGAAGTACGGAGTAATCGGGATTTTGCTACAGCTTTTCTTCCCGTAAGTATGACATACCTATATGTTGTTTTGTAGAGCAAATGCTGAAAGTCAAAATCCAATGGTACTTTATGATATCCAGACATCTTGTCAATAAAGAACGTAAAAACATTGCAATCGAATATGCGTGAATTTGAAATCTTAAAAATTAAATAAGAATTAAATAAGACAAGACTTCCTGTTTATAGTTAATATGAGTGGAAATTTGGCTAGGAATTTGAGTAGATAAGTTCTTCTTTGATAACTGGGGAAAACTGGTTGGTTGGTTGGTTGGCATGCATATTGAGATTCAGCGTTATGAAATACGAGTTGTTAGTCAGAACTTGCAGTTTGCAATCATGACCAGTTCATTAATATAGTGAGAAAAGAATCGACAGAGTATTTTGATGGATATATTTTTTTTTTGTTCTATCTTTAATAAATAATTTTTGAACCTGCCAAAATAACCCAGTTAATCGGGTCTTTCTTAACTGTGATGCTAAACTTGTGTGATCCTACATGTCCTTCTTTTAGTCTTCTACCCAACAGATATATTCTTCGAATAGAGTGTCATTTGATTCTACGACGAGTATCCCCTTCAACAAAAAAAGCTCTTCTAAAGATACCACGTGTGCACACAGAAAGTTCTTTATGACTCATACTACAATCTTTAAGATAAATTGAGCATACCAATGACTTCAAATACAATATTAAAATTAAAGAAAAAGTAATCGGCCTATAGACTTGTAGTATACAGTTCTATACTATAGACTTGTATAGAACTAAAAACATTAATTATGCATTAATACTCATATTTATCAAAAATCAGAATTTTAATGTGTATATAATTCTAAACGCTTCACTCTGGTCTATTCAAGTATTGCATTATTCAGATGAATTTCAAACTCTATTATGGTAAAGTTATAAAATATGCCATTCACGCAATAATAATCCTTGTATCGGAATCAAAAACATTCTCTCATAAGCCTTAAGTTGCGAGGAGGGGGCATGTCTCTTCGATTTTCATATCATTTTCAAATAAATAAAACTAGATTCTTGATATTATAATCATCCCTGCTCTAACATAGATCAATCTGTGCTGACCTTACAGATTTTATTTTGTTCTTGTATCAAATTTAAATAGCCGTTTTCACTGTTCCAACTCTTTCCCAGTATTAAAGCTCCTTTTTCATGTTCGTTAAATTCAGAAAATATCAGACCAATCAATAACTGTTTTTGTTTTGTATTCCACATTCATTAACTTTAAACAAGCCTTTTAGATGTTTACTTGTCTATTTTTCTAAATTGAACTACTTAATCTTTTCAGGCCTTATTTAGAAACTGAGGAACCTTTGAAAGTGGTTTCCAAGTATCAACTAGCTGCTAGGTACGGTAGACAAGATCGTGCAAACTGTGGCAAGCAATATGATGGGTGCATGATTAGCTTCCTGGACCTCATACAAGCCATTGTGAATGCTTTCATCAAGTAACTTGAAATTGTTCTCTTTTTAACTAACACTTTGTTGCCTCTGTTGAAGTGAACATCAACGACAAAGTTTGTGGCGATCTTTGAATCGCTCAAAAAAAAAAAGGTATTTGAGCCGGATTACAGACAGTTTAAGACATCTCTGCAGAAATTCGTTTTTTAAAAAATAGAATTTGGTAATTATGTATACTTGACAAATGTCTATTCTGACGAATGCTTAATTTCCATTAAAGAGGCATGATTAGTTTCCTCCGTAAAATATATTTATAACGTAAAATGTACTTAACTATGTGCGTATCTGATATTTTTTTTATGATTTAGTGCTAAAAAAGTCTATTTTAGATCTAGCATGTATGTCGTATTATATGTTAGTCTGCTGTATATTTTTCATTTAAAAGTAATGATTTGTGGAGAACAAGGAGAATATATATATATTTTCCTTGTTTTTGCCTGCCACCTATCGTTACTCTATCTAGACTGACAATTATATATATTCACGTAGTTTTATCTTTACCGTTTGTTATTAGAAACTGCGTTAGTTTTTCTTTCAATTTTTTCTTATACAGACTGGAAAGAGAAGTGTGGATCGATGTAAATATATTATACACTAACATTATCAGCGAGAATCTGGTAGAACAACTGGTTGGACTGTCTTATTAACTCTTATGTAATAAGAAAGTATTCCTGGAAACATTTAGAATGCAACAGATAACATCATATTAACATTGTGTAATTTAGCATTTTTCAGTTTTTAAATGTTTTATGTAGACTCTTAGAAACTTTGATAGCATAATTTGGTTTATATTAATTTACATTTACAGTTACCTGAACTGCTCCCTGCTTCATTACCATTCAGTAGTAACAATTATAATAATAATAAAAAATTATAAAGACAAGTAAGAATCGATATATACGTAACCTAGCTAGCTATGGTAATATAGATAGTTTTAATACTACAAAAAGTATTGAAAGAAGAAAGTCAAAACTACAAAAACTGAGTTACTTAAAATTTTTATCTGTACTTTGGCAAATCACTGTAATTAGGTTAGTCTGAACTAAATTGAGGCAATTTTAAGTAACTGAGTTTTGTTGTTTTGATTTTCTTGTTTCAATACTTTTTGTAGCATTACAACTTTCTCTATTACTATAGCTAGCTAGGTTATGTATATATGGATTCCTACTTGTCTTTACAAAATTAAAAAAATTGTTATTATACTTCTTTGTTTCCTTTTTATTAGGTCCACTCAATGGGTAAGCGATAAGTGTTTGGACTTACAACACTAAAATCCGCGGTTCGATTCACTACGGTGGCACCCACACACATTTTTTTTATTAGCTATATTTTTGTGCGCCAGCAATATCAAGCGTGGTGCGCGCATATGCCCGATTCGACTTTATTACTCATCAGGATCTTTACCAGCCTACCCTCAAATCTAATTATATGCCCAAAGTAGCGCATCGTCTGTTTTATATATACACTAGTATCCTTTTCGGTAGTAGAAACGGATCATTGGGATCTTAGACGGAAGAGTTCTGTGAAAGAACTACAGTGATAAGGTTCGTCATTTTGTCTGTACCCTTGTTAGGGATAGTCATTTACTTACTTAGATGAAAATTCGTTGAAATAGTGAAATTAATTCACTCCATAAACACACATATAGCGATGTAGGCGGCTTTCTTAGTACAATAAGCCTTAGTTTTGCTCCGCCAGTACTGTGAAATTGTCATTGTTAATATTCAGACATTTTAAAGTAGTTTTAAAGGGGCGATTTTTATGTCCGCCATTTTCTTTCATCACGATTCCTACTATTAAGTACTACTGTACTTAATGATACTACTTATGACCACCCAAGTTTGTGCCAAAATAACAAATACGTAACTTTTAGTTGGGGGTGCTCAGTTAACCGAAAAACATTCAAAAGATCATTCAACATCACAATATTTGGAACATATTTAGAAATAAATATAGTATATTAAGTTATTTTAAGTTATCTTAAACGAATTTTTGCTAGTAGGCAAACTATCATATAATTTTTATATCCTTGAATTTTACAAATAAGTCACTTGAAAGAATGTTTGTGTGTTTTTGTTTGCTTGTATAACTTGTCAATGTTTTACTTGTTAATATTTATGGATCTTTTTGTCTTTATGATCTTCGTTTATTATGCGTTCAGGAATAAGGAAAACACTTGCAAAGCTGTATCGCCATCTATTAAATGATTGCGGAACTGTTAAATAATATAATAATATAATGTATTTTTTCTTTACTTTTAAATGTAAATTTTCCAAACACGAAAGTATATAGTTAAATTTATGTTGTAAGTATTTTTATAAACTCCCTTAACCAAGATTAAAAAAACCCGCTTACAAAGCAGAAAACTTGTCGGAGTATAATCAGTATACGCCGTGAGAGGGCGCGTTACTCCAACAGTCATATACTCCAACACTTATTGTTGGAAATTTTATTTTCATACTTACTTACATATGTAAGGGAAAATTATGTAAATACTAAAACAAATGATAGAAAATAAATCATGAGCCGATTTGTAAAACTGTTGTTTAGTTTGCTTAAAGCACTGTTTCAGGTACGAAATACTCCTGACTTTGCCAAAAAATATATGAAACTTTAAATGTTATTTAATATTTTTTAGGTACAGGCTCAGGACTCTGAATGAAAAAGCTACAATGTAACATGTGAAACTGATTAATCTAAATCAATCGAGTAATGTTTAATTTTGTTTACATTGAGGAATGCTCATCAAGTATGAAATATATATGTATTTTTATTCTACTGAAAAATGTGTTTCTCCCTAATGTAATAAATCTTCCATAACTTTGTATAACCTTCTATAAACTGATTAGCTTACTTAAGGAAATTACTTGTGCATACCTGTCATTTGCTTGCGAGTTTACTATTATACACCATAAGTTTGTGTTGAAGCATTATTTTAAATATGCTTCAGATCTCATGAACTAGAACAAATGTGTCCTGTCTTGATCTATCATTAAAATTTTTCTTTTACAGATTTGATTGTTTTGTTTCCCCCTATTAACTCGATAACAGAAATCACCGAAGCGACACCACAGATGATATTAAAAAGACAATAAGTCTTAAATTTCTATGAAACACGGGAGAAGCATTGTCAGCAATAAAGTATTTGGTAAGGCTTTTCAACATTACAATACAACATTATTGGATGAAATGTTCGTTCTTTTCCATAGTGGTTTACAGCGTGTTAAAATGCTAGTTATGAATTAAAGCTAACGTCATATGATGGATATATCCCGAGTATAACTCATGTTCACAGGACCATTACTAATACATACGCTGAAGAAAGATGAGACAGAGTTCAAACAGAACCTTCAGATATATCATTTACAAACTATAACAAAGCTTAATTTCAAGAACTTCACAAAATCGATCATTAAAGTTTCACTGATTAAACAAAGTTCTAAAAATACATGATACCTTGCAACTATCGGGTTTGTAGGTCACTTAAAAATTATCGAGAAACATACTACATCGAAAGAGTATCCTTTATATAATGTTGTATATGTAGTATTGCTTAAAACTAATGACAGTTTAGCAGCATTTTAACATATATTAGCTGACTACAACACGTGTATGAAGGTATTACATAAACAACTTTGATAAATAATGCACACTCTACTAGATAAGTAAAAAAATCAAAGCCCCAATAATATATTTATCCACTAGGTAAGTAAGAACTGCGGTAGACTACAAGAAACTGAAATCATGCAGTATCGAAAACTAGCCATTTGACAAAAAAGTAACTTCCCTGAAATATTCTTCCATATTTTTCATACTATGAAAAAAAGTTAAAATAATATAAAAATGATATGCTTAAATATTGTAAAACTATTTTTTTCTGCAACAACTTTCAATTCCGCTTTAAAATACAATTAGTGTAAATCTAATGTAAATCTAAATACTAGCTCCAAACACTCATGGTATTAAACAAAAACTTAATTACTCGGAAATTCCGTAAATAAATTATATTACTTCGACTTCTTCAGAAATTCTATTTAAAAAATCTAAACCTATTTTCTATTAAACAGTTTACTTTTATTATTATTTCTTTTTATCTTAAATGTTGTTTCATAAAACATGGTTTTAGCAGACAGAAAGAAAAAATATTATCTGCATTTTTACAAATGACCATTGTTTTATGAATAAGAGTATCTTTAATAAAAAATTTAATATTTATCTGCTTACGCACGTAATTATTACTTCAGTTTCTTTTAGAAAAATAAGACAACTAATGATTAATGCTCTTAAGCTGAAGCACCCTAGTGGCACGGCACTATGTTTACTGATTTACATTACTAAAAACCGGGTTTCAATATTCGTGGTGGACAGAGCACACATAGCCCATAGTGTAGCTTTGTGCTTAGCTACAAACCAACAAACTTAACCGGACTGGTCTGGTATGTATATTAATTTGAAGGAAAACAAAAATACTTGAGAACGTGTTCTAATCCTTCAACAACCCAGGACAGCAGTTAAAGTGGCCATCGGGAGCCGGAAGTAAAGAAACATTGACACAATTTTGATAAGCTTGTATAAACGTAATGACGTGCCGAGGGCATTGTCATAAAATGTACGCCATTCATAAGTAATCAACAACATGAGGCTTGTTATTATGTGCACATTGCTAGATGGTATAATATGATTATGTCATCAACACTAGAGCATGTTGCTATGTGTGTGTTGCTATGCTGTATAATAGGACTACAGCATCAACACCAGGGGCGCGTTGCTATGGGTGCAATGCTAAGTGACATCATAGGAACAAGTCATCACACCAGATGGCGTGTTTCTAACATTTTTCTTTTTTCATAATATTTCATTCAATTTATAGTTTCTGCTTTTATAATTAATTATCATGGAAACTTTCTGGGATACTGTATAGAAAAACAACTTTATCAGAAGGTGCATGTATCTTACCTTTGAAGATATGAAGATCAAACAAAATCTGTAAA